TTCCGGATATATCCGGAAGACTTTCATCTCTGTCATCTGAAATAATAGGAGGTGGAGGTCAGGAATCCTAGATCATAATGGAACCAACAACTTGGTGCACAATAGCAGTACTAACACTGGCTGTCAGAGTGCTTCCAGTTACCAGTACAGTATCCAATAACACTTACAGGGATGTGAACAGGAAAAAAATAGAAAACTCTTGAAATACTGCAGAGTGGGCTACAAGTGCAAGCAAATCTGGCTGGGGGTTCAGGGAATGCCATGAGTCCCCAGAAACTTTTGAAAATTAAGTGCTTTCAGATCATGTTTGAGGCACAAAGTATGTATATTTTCAGGTGCACCGTATCCTGTGAAAAATCCACTGTTTCTCCTTAGTAAAGGGGTTATCTACTCTGGTTCATTACCCATGAACAATAAATAGTCTATCATATTCTCTAAGTCAGTAAGTAACCCTATTTTTGCCCACATTTAGCTCCTGACTAAACTTGAAGACTTTCACCTTTCAGAATAAAAGTTTCCCTTTAGGTCCAAGCATTTTCATCTCAAAGATATTGTGTCAGTTAACATTATGACATGTGGCTAGAATAGCTCTGTGCAACAGTCAAAACACGACTGATCGGCTCAATGATGAAATAACTACAACAGTGTTTTCATCCAAGTTTCATAATTCATTTCAGGATAAATGGCTCGACATGTCTAACAAATATGTCAACACACAAAAAGAAGGGTGGTCTACTGATTATGTTTTTAATTTGGATGGCAAACTATAAAGATGGATTCTAAAGATTCTATTTCAATCTCACCTGACAAATTGCTGTCTTCACATAAGCATGATGGAGGTGACCATAGCTGTACTTCAAAGAACATGTGCAGTGAAATCTTCCATGGAGAGAGCCAATCAGGAGATGCATTATGGTAGCATAGGTTGACCCTTCCTTACTCATATTTTTAAACCGAATTTACAGAAATCACAGAAAATGACCCAGGTGATGAAGAAAAACTTGGAATTCTGAGAATCCATGGAAAATTGACATTCTAGCACTTGTGAAGGAGTGTCAAAAACCTTGAGATACGTCATTACCATGGGACTATGAATGCATAATCCAATTGATTGATCATGAAACTGATTTTCTTGTGGCCGTTTTTTGTAAAATACAATGAATATCACAGAATCAAAGATGTGTTTTGTTTTTGAGGAATAAAATAAGCCCAGTTTGTCAGTGATGCATAGGCCTAACAATGACCATGAAGAGTACATGACGAAACCCGTATGTTGGGTTAAACAAGAGGAACAGAGAGTAGGATGTGCCAAAAGAACAAATTTTAGTCTTAAAAAAATCAAATTTCTAAACTGAAAGTTCAAAATGTAGTATTGTTGTTGCACATAAACGAGAAAATTAAGGAAGTAAATACTATGCTACAAAGGGCAATGAACATTAAAATAATAAGTACAAAAACTCTAGTAATTCCTTAAAAAACATGCACATCTGAGGACAAGCAGTACCAAAGAAGGAATGAGCTTTTGTTCAAATGCCAGTGCCCATGGGGGTTACTGTGCATGAAGGATGGGTCACCCTTTTACTGGTGAAGGGCTACAGTCTAATAATGGTTACATTATAGGTTGGTACAATACATGTTAATACATGTAGGGGTGGGAGCTTTGATCAAGGTTTGTAGAAATACAATGCATAAAAAGTAATAACTCTTGTTTTATGCAGATGTGAGTAATGTTTCTGTACTCGGAAAATTACTACTAAACTCACCAATGATTGTGCATGACCACTGTTTACTTGCTGCCCAGTTGACCTATTTTGTGCTGGATAACCCATCACAACATTAGGAGGTGTGGTTACAGGTGTACGAGAAAGTGATCCACTTCCTGGTCGCATTACTGACTGCTGTAGCATAACATTTGCAGGCAAAGTTGAATGCATTCCACTTCTAGGCCCCATCATGACTGAAGATGATCCTTGAAGACTTTGGTTTCTCATCTGAAGATGTTTATAATATTTTTAAAAACACAGACAGTAAAATAAGCTTAAATACAAAAAAATAGATCTTTACAAAAATCTGGTGTTTCACAAAAAATATTTTCTATTTAACTGAACAGTAAAACAAAACATTACATATGGTTTTTGTTTTCTGTACAATGCATGCTTTACTTAAATTCAACAACTACACATGTTCATGAAGAGCATTTTTAGATAAACAGTGTAATTAATTTAAGTTAAACTTCATGAATATGTATTACCCTTATACGTATTATACCAAGAAGTATGACTTTGTGAAAATCAGTTACAATTGAACATAATTTATTCAAAAAACTTTCCAGGAATAAATATAACATACAACACAAAATTAATTTTAAAATGATAACACCTCTCTTAACATACCTACAAGGCAATTAAAAATAATTTAAAACAAGCATAACAGTATAAAACAGTCAAGAGAGATAGATCTTTTAATTTTTCCAATAATTTACATTTATGACTTTTAATAACTTAAAATTTTCATTACATACTGCCCCAATGTGTAGTACATTTCATCTCAAATTGTACCTGATATAAGCATGCTACAAAAGAAAAATACCAGTAGCATCTACAATGGAAATGAACATAATTTTCAGTTAGGTATACCTTGTATTACCACAAGCTTTACAATGCACAAAATAATTACATAAAAACTCATTTACAAATGTGTGAAATCAAAAGTTTACCAATTCAAAGTAACAAACTGTTGCCCATTTCACAGTAAAATACTGTTGTGCACAAAATAATAACTAATTTTATAGCCATGATAATTTTTTCTCCTCTTCCTTTAAAATGTGAAAGTGGCAAATGGTGTTAAACATTGTACAGTGGAGACAAACTTAAGATATCTATATGTTTCATCACCTCAATGTAACTGTGTACATTCTATTTGCCACCAGGTGACTGATTGGCTCAATATAGTTGTGCTCAGGTAAAATCATAAACTCAATCCCAAGATTGTATGCAAGTTATATTAACTTGTACCTACTGGTAATCTCATTAAAGTAGCACTGACCCTTAACACTGTCATATATGTCATATGTATAATTAATGCAGCAGGGATAAAAAAATACATAACAAACTGTTTTAACACCATAACTTTACTTAGGAATGATGAAAACATGAAAATGTATACACATGCTCTTTGTGAACATCCTCATAGCTTGAATTGAAAACTTTGCAAATTTTTTGAAACGTTAATGAGCTATGGGCAATTAATTTTATAATTTCTTCGTTAGTGGTAATTAGACACATAACCAGACAATTGGTAAAGACTTTTGAATCTTAAATAATTCAAGCTATGGAAGAATGTAATATCAACAAGTGTTCTAAATTTCATGCTGATATTGGCTTTAATGGTGAAGTGGAAACGGAATGAAAACAAACTAGGTTTATATTTTTAATCACTTACTACAGGTTAATTAGTAAATATTAGAAGACAAAAATCAGTTATTTATGCAAAAAAAAAAGGGGTTAAACTTTCAATTTAAATTAATTTGAAAAATGTGATTTTTGAAATATTGGGAGAGCACTTTAATACATTGGCTGCTGCCTTATACTATATTAATCCACATTCTGGCACCAAATGCAATATGAACCTCTACGCTTAACCCAGGTTTATAATATGATCACAGTTGACAATCCTTTGTTCAATTATCTATTTGAAGTGGTTTTTAGTTATGTGTCCACCAGTAGATCACAATGGCATTCAATAAAAATGTTAGTGTGAATGTGCCACGTGACCTATGGGTAGGTAATGTTATTTTGCTTTCATTTCGAAATTTTTTGTGTTTCACAAAGGGCAGCACAATCACAATGTTATTACATAAATGGGAACATTCCTGAAGTGCCAAGAAGCAATCACAATATCCTAGAGTCAAATGCTACAAAGAAACTTTATATTTTAAAAATTATGGTCTGTGAACCACTGGTGGGTCATAGGGTACATTATTAATAGTGCCATATGCCCCTCCAGTGGGTCACGTGGCAGCCAACATGTCAAGGGTCAGTGCTACCTTAATCACAGTTATGTTTAGAAATTTTCTGATTTATATTCAATGTTGAGAAATACAGCATCATTTATAGAACATAGTGCTCTTCTGAGGGTACTTACAGACATTTTCAAACAACTTTTTACATAATGTTACTTTAAAGAAACTTCTCAAATAAAATAATTTAAAAACAAACTAGTTTTGGGCATAGGCCTATATAAGGTGTCAGTGAATTGTCTTTCATTGTTGGAATCAAAATTGTTTTTCAAAACACACTGCACAATACATAAAACTTGACCAATAATACTGATGACCAGAGAAAAAAAATCAGAGCTCTTTATACAGTATTTATTTTAATCATTTGTCAAATATCAAATAACATCAAAGTTATTACAGTTAATTATTTCTTATGTTTGAAAATTGTTTAAAGTAACTACTACATCTATAATTACTGATATTTTTTTTCACGATCATCACTATTGGTCAAATCTTATGTATTCTTGCCTCTGTTTTGAAAAATTATCTTACTTCCAAGAATGAAAGACAAACGCAATTAACTTTACACCTTATGTAGATATAATGCCATAAATCTAAACATTTTTTATACCTATTACTTGAGTAACATATAGTAATATTGTAGAAATATGTAGGGAGAAGAAACCCATGGAATCCTATTAATCATGTTGTAAGCAATATTTTCAATGTTAACTAGAGAGCACATGATGTTATTATCACTTAAGTTTATATAAACAATCCTACAATACTTAGAATGTTTGTGAAGATAGTGATCAAGACAATTTCTGAAGTGTCTAGAAAGAATACTATATTATAAATACAAGGATCAGTGAAGCAGTGAGTTAGTTCTACTACTAGTACAGTGCCAGTCATTCAGTGATTTGAATCCAGTTATTACATACATCTAATTATTTGATCAATTAGCCATGAAACTGTATATGTACGTATATTTGTACATTAGTGTAGTACCATTATTGATTCAATCTCTGTTGAATTTGAAAGTGTGTATGTGTGTGAGCATTTAGAATTATACTGATTTAGTGCAAAGATCAAATATTCAGCATACCTGACCAGGCAACATCCGCCACTAGGTGGGATCCTGAAACATAATGTATATCCACTGAAAAAGATACAAAATAATAACAGGTCAACTTACCCCAGTCAAAGGCAAAACAGACGTGTGGAGAATTGCCACAGGGAGAAGACGATAACCGATCGAGGAAGATACGGCCAAAACATGCAGACGGTGTGCTGCAAATGTATTGGGAGTCATCCACATACCCACTTGAATGCTCTCTTCCAAAGATCGATTGACTTGAGCAGTTAAGGAAATAGTTAAGTGACAGATTTGGTGCAATGAAACATTATGCAACTGCTGACCTTTCATGGAGAAGTCAGAATACACTAAACATACGAGTTGTCGAACCCAGCCATAAAAGGCAGCAGGAGATAAGTCCCAGGAAACAGAGGGATTCCAGGGAATAAATAGGCAGGAACAAAACTCACGAAATAAGGTGGTATGAGACACATAACAATGCAGGGAATGTACAAGAAAGAGAAGATGAACCAGATCAGAACATGAGTACAGGTGGGAAATAAATGGTAAGAAAATGAGAGAAAAGATAAAAACCACTTTCACGAACAGCAGTTGTATTAGGAAGGAAGGCCCAATCTGGATAATAGATAACATAAGAAGAATGGTAAAGGATATAGGAAACATTAATGGCATAAACATCAGAATGATGATAACCACATATCAGGAGAAGGAAGAAATAAGTCTTAAGAAAAAAGATGGTACAAGGAACACACGGCAATGGGTTCAAAGGAAGAACCAAACAGGGCATGAAGAACAACATTGGGATCCCAATCTGAATAACAAAAGGACGTGGAGATCGAACAAAATGAAAGAAATGGAAAAGGAAGAAATAATTAGGGGAGGTAAAAGACTTTATGGAACAAGAAGAAAAGGAATGTGTTTGACCAGAGCAGCCCAATAACTAGCAACCATTAACACGGACAAACCCTGATCAAGCAATCAGGTAAAAAATGGGACAGACAAGGAACAGAAGGCAAATGGACTATCATAGGAGCAGAATGAAATGAGACATAGCCCAACAAACAGCCAAAAGTTTGAAGAGATTGATATGGAATGTAGTTTCCACAACTGACCACTGCCATGAAATCTCCCTGGATTTGAGGGAAACTCCCAAACCTATCAAGGAAGCATCTGTGAACAGGTGAGTATCAGGACGAGGAGGACAAATGGGAACCCCCATTACTGTCATTTTCCTGTCAAGACACCATGCAAGGTCAATCCTGATCCCAGGAAGGAGGGTGATAGGATGATCCAAGGAGTCATGGGAGAAGTTCCACTTGTTGATAAGTGTCCACTGAAAGGAACGCATATGCACCTGACCCAAGAGAATGAGAACTTCTAAGGAAGCCCAAGTCTCCAAAGGAGGTAGAACCTCTCGTGCAGTGAGAGAAGGCGAACGTACTGCCTTTGTGACTGCCAGCTCCATATCCCTCAGCTGAAGTGGAGAAGGCTGGGCCTGACTGAAATGGGAATTGAAGAGAACCCCCTAAATAAATAAGAGATTGTGTAGGAATTATAAGGGACTTCCCCAGTCTGATTAGAAACCCCACCTCAGCAGCTTCTCGAAGAAGTAATCAGATGTGAAAGACTGACTGGGCCTGGAAATAGGGAAGCAGAAGCCAGTTGTCCATGTAATGACAAGTTCGAAGACTCAGCAAGTGAAGATGACGAACAAATGAGTGAACCACATAACATAACACACAAGGAACTGAAGCCAAACCAAATGGCAATGCATGGAACTAAAAGACACAGCCCTCATGGACAAACTAAAGAAAACAACGTAATCCTGGAGTAATGAGAACATAAAAATAGGTATCTGTCACATCAAACTTGGTAATCCAGAGTCCTAGAAGGAAAAA